AATTATTTTTCTGCGAAAAATTTGCTGAACTTTGGAGACATCATTAATATAAATATAATTTTTATGGCTGTTAAATAATAAATGGTTTTTAGTAGGTCTGCTGCTCATTTAAACTCAACGGTTTGTGCAATGTCCACTATTGGTCCAGATTCGACCAATCCTGTCGAGACACAAGTCAGCCATGACAATCTGTCTCGTTCTTTTACCGTGTTATATGAACCCATGTTATAGGGAGGTCTACTGTACTAAATTGAAAGGATCTTCCAAAAAAATGCTACCATTTTAAATTATTGTAAGTATGTTAATTATTGTCCAAGAACATAATAATGTATTGGGTTGTTCGGAAAGTAAGTTCGTTTTTTTCCATGGAAAAAAAAAAACACTATTTTTATAATAAATATATATTTTATTGAATTATGTATCGACCATTTTGGTCAAATACCCATTGTCATCGTTTCTGGTAGTAACATGATTTCACATTCATATAAGTTTCGATCGTTGCTTACAAAAAACTGATCCAAGTGATTTTTGACATTGTCATTTCAAGTAAATGTCTTACAGTTAAAAATAATTTGTACAGACTGGAACAAGTAATAATCTGAGTGTGCTCGATCTGGCGAATATGGTTGATGTGATAGCACATCCCATCTAAGCTGTAACAGTTTCTGATGAGTTACCAAACTTGTGTGAAATTTGACAATATCATGGTAAAACACTACACCTGTTTTGTTGACCAATTCTGGCCTTTCCTGTTTGATGATATTACTCAATTTGTTTACTTGATGGCAGTACACTTTCGAATCAAGTGTTAAAATGTCTAGTAAAAGCTCCAAAAAAATCCCATCAAAGGGAGCATCTCTCTTTAAGAACATGTGAAACCCATATATCGAGCTTTGAAATGAAACCAATTTGTTTCAAGTAATCATAAATGGTTCAATTTGACAAATTTAATCTGTTAGTGATTTCACATGTTGTTATTCGGCAGTTTTCTTCAATCAGTGCCTTTATTTTGTTTTGGCTTCAATTGGCCATCCAGAACATGGTGCATCTCCAATATTGAAATTGCCAGAACAAAATTTTGTAAACCAGTTTTGGCACTGTCTTTCTCTCGACACATCATCTCCATACATGTACCACAATTTTTTTCTCGCTTGAACAGCATTTTGACTTTTTGGTAATAAAAAAGCAAAATATGCCAAAAATGATGCTTTCAATCTTCCATATTTGATGGGACACAAAAAATAAACAATTGCACAAAATCAAACAAAATTTTTTACAAATAAGCCTTAAAATGCTAACTATCAAAATATATAATGATAATACAGTTTAGAATGAAAATGGCGGGAAAAATACGACTAATCCGTTTAGTGGTAAAAAAAATGAACTTGCTTTCCGAACAACCTAATAATAAAAAAAATTACAAAAACATTTTTATTGGAAAACAACAAGCATTTTGGTAAATTTTTTGATAAAATAAAAATATTTTTACCAAAATCAAACAAGTGGTCCATAAGTTATATGCAGGATCTGTACAGATTTATTCCATCTTGTAATTCCCTGATCAATTATGACATTATTCCCCAACTTATTAATGTCTCTGCATTTCTCCTTTCCATTATGCAATATTCAACCAATTTAAGCCCATTTTGAACTCAATTATATAAATGGTTTTTATTAAAAACATTTTATTCACATACAAAAAATGAAAAACAGCGCCTAAAATCGATTATGTAATTAGTTATGTCATTTCTATGTAATATAAAATAAAAACAATGTAATTTAAATAAGAGAAAGATTCATGTCATGTCATAAAATCACATTTTCTTAAAGCAAGGAGGTGGGAAATTCAAAATAATTTAAACAGAAGCACAGACCCATTCAAGGTCATTACATTTCTTATGTAATTTGATAACTACTGTATTACTTGAATATACTTAACATAAATTAGGTTAATTGAAATATAAAAATGTCATTCAATGCAGTTGATTTCTGAATAATTATGAGATATTATTTTTAAAAAACTTTTCTGCTTTACATATATGTAAACTTGCATTATCTATAATGTCCCTATAATTTTTTCAAGATAAGAAAAATTAAAAGCAATTTATGGCATAACATATAATTAAATATGAAATGTTAATAGCAGACAAATATAATCTCATACAGGCAAAAAATTATTATGGATAAGTAAAAACATTACATCAAAACCACCAAACATTAAATTCTTATTTATTGTTTTATTTTGACAGATCACAAAATAATACAAAAAGATTATTATAAATATGTATGTTTCTTAAAATATAAAGTTTTCAGTGATTTGATATTTATTTAACTAAATTTAATAACATATAAGAGTGAAAAAGAATATAAAAAATGTTACCTGAAAGGGGTATTCTTTGAATCTGAGTTAGAGTTTGAGGTTCTCGATGTTGACGTACATCTTCAGAAGTAGAAGTTTCTGAACAATTGGACAGTTCATAAGCAAAGAAATAGCCACTCATAATCATACGAATTTTGTGATCATCAGGAGGTAAACTCTAATAAAAAATAAATAATATGAATATTATAAACAAACATTGAAATAAATTATTAAAAATGAACTGTACATAAAATCATATTAATTCAACATAAATTTTATGTTTAAATTTCTCTGATTCTCTATCTTTTCTTTTTTATTTAGTCATAAATATTCAGATAATACTTGCTATAATTTTGTTTTTAATTCATTTTCTCAAACAGGTCTTAAAAACTAGTATTTTGTAATTCTTCATGTTTTATATTGATATATACAGAGTGTTTATAAATGAATGGTGCGGTTTTAAAATTTAATAATAAATCTATTTATTACCTTATATGGGTAAACCTTACAGCATAAGCAGCGGCAATTGTCCAAGTTTTTTATGCATTAATCACAATCCTTCAATATGTGCACTGCAACCATCATGAAGGACATGCTTCACCACACATGGGAAGAATTTGATTACCATGTAGATGTGTCGTGTAACCACGGGTGCACATATTGAAGGATTGTGATTATTGCATAAAAAACTTGGACAGTTGCCGCTGCTTATGCTGTAAAGTTTGCCCATATAAGGTAATAAATAGATTTATTATTAATTTTAAAAACTGCACCATTCATTTATAAACACCCTGTATATAATTTAACAATGCTTATTAAGAAGATCAAAAATTCAAAATATTTTATTTTGGAAACATTTTCACAACCCAAGAAAAGTCAACTTCAGCCACAAAATCATTGTAATTGTTTTTAACATTTTTGACTCAGATTCAAAAACATTTCCAAAATAAAATGTTTAGATTTTTGGTTTCCTTAGTAAGCAATGTTAAATTATAAACTGTATGCAATCATGATGCTAAGATTTTCATATAGTTTTTGAACATTGCTTTTGGGTAGCAGTAATAGAAAAAAATATATTATATTTATTCAAATCAGAAATTAAATAAAATAAAAATACATCAACACTAAATTCTTTCAAACTTTAAATAAATCTAACTATATAAAACTGAAAAACCGGATTCTTTCTTTCTGTCATTGTATGTCAAAAATGACCACTAGTGGCACCACCTCTAGCTATTATTTTAATTAACAATAAATTCAGTATATTATTATTTGATGCAGTTTTTTGCATTTTTGGCTGTGTTTTAGTAGGGTATGACATGAGAAATTCAGTATATTATTATTTTTATTTTTAATAGGAATTTATTATTTATACCACAGAATGACACCGCTGCTGCTAGAATGCCCACTAGAGGTGTCCCAGGCTACTAGAATAGAAGGATTAATCTAATAATCTTAATCTTTGTTGTTGTTTTTTGCCCAGGCAACACCAGGCTCATCTGCTGATTATATTATAAAACTGAAAAATATTTGCCACTAATCTATGATTGAATGTAATAAATGATATTAAATTTACTGCTGAAAAAGTATTAAATTCTAGAAAAACATTCTATAATTACATAACATAATAATATGTAATCTAAATATTAAGAAAAAGGTCAAATAAGATTTATTCAAAAAAGTAATCTATTATATTATGATTATTTTAAATCATCAATAACATATTTAATGCAATTAATTATACTTGCAGTTAAAATTGTAATATAAAACTCACATTGCATTATATATGTATTAGCAAAAATTCACAAACTCGTGGCATTAATTATAGCAGAAAACACAGAAATTAAAAAAATTATAATAATAATATTATAATTTTATCTTCACTATAATTTCAACAAAACTCTTACCTTTATAACAGCTCCTGATACCTCTGCTATCAATAACTGATGTGGAGGAATTTCACATAAATTACTAAGTTGTTGTTTGAGAACAGAATACTTATCATCATGGTTTAATCTTAAACCAAATTTCACAGGTAAGCTTCCATCTAACCGCACAACTATAAATAAATATTTATTCAGTTAAGTAATTTACATTGAACCTAAAGTCTTATTATAAATTAAGATATATGTATTAATTTAATAGAAGCTATATAGAATAATTAATCTGTTGCGATTTGTATTTGCCCTTAAATATAACTCTTTTTAATCACAAGCAATGATCTAGATATGTATGTTGTGTTTGAAGAACTACAGGTGATCATGATGATGGTCATCATCTCCCTTATTATTAACATTGTAGAAATCATGATACAAAAATAAAATTTTTATCTTCACATATAAAAAATATTTGTCTTCTTGATATAGTTTATAATATATTCCAAAAGCAGAAAAATGTTACAATGGTTAAGATTCAAATTCAATAAATACTATATAGAAAATTATTGATATTAGAATACTTTCATCTTTATATTTATAATTTATAATCACAAACTTTAAAGTTACAATTCTGAAAAATAAAATATTTTCAATATTTAAATTTGTTGAATAAATCTGAATATTTTACTGCATCTCACATTTAATGTCAAGAACACATTCTGCAACTTACATGTTTTCCATAAAAACATTAACCAGAAACCTATTTCCTATTATTTTAAATGGGAAAAATTAATGTTACATACAATATCAACCCAAAACCTCTAACCAATTTCCTAAAGCTCAGTAAAACATCTATATACTATTGATATTTCTCTTTTTACCAGAAATATAGATATCCTGATATATCAATATCTGATTAAAATATCATGATATATTATGATACAAAGTATCTTTTAATTTAAAATGTTTTAACAGAGTCACTATTTATGATCATTTATATAATAGTATAACTATAAACAATATTTAAAACTTCTCAACAGTTTTAACAGTCTAATTACTATTTAATTAAAATAAGGCAATCTATAATATCAGTGATTTTATTCAAAATCTGTTCTAAAATTTTTCAACACTTAATTATCAAACTAAGCTCTTTGAATTGATATTATAATGTATCGCTATTCAATGTCTCCTGTTTTTCCTAGGCACTTTTACAGTTTTCAAACAGAGCTTACTTTTTTCTATTTCATGTGAAGCATGGAGGTACTTTTAATGATGATGTCATCATAAATATCATTTCAGATTAAATGGCAGCTTCCAGACTGACAGAATAAATTCTCCAAAAAATATGTTTAAATTTCCCAAAATTAAGAAATGTTATATCAAAAAAATTTCTCTAAAATACTGACATTGTAGAAAATTTTTATTTGTTTCAGAACTCGTAATGCATGAAAATTTTTTATCAATTTGCTACTGAATTTTGTCTTAATTATTTCTTATAATCTAAAAATGAGTAAGATACAACACTTTTAAGTTTTTAAATTAATATCAGAAATTATTAATATTTATATGCAATACATCACAAATATACATCACAAATATAAAATAACTGATATTTATCAATATGTGGTATTTCACAATTTTTCTGTTTTATGGTTGCTGTATATTGGATCTTGTGTATAAACGTCTCTTTAATCCAAACTTTTGTTTGGTAGATTATCTCACAGCATCATGATTAGAAACAACTTTATTTTTTTATTTAAAAAAAAATTTATAATAAAATAAAGTTGTTTCTAACTGTGATGCTATGAGATAATCTACCAAACTTTTGTTTGGATTAAAGAGACATTCATACACAAGAATAAAAAAATATGTGGTATGTTGATATATGTACAGTACATCTCATTCAAGGTTAACTACATGTAAGTAACAAACCATTATGTTAAGTTGTAAAATGTTTAAAACATCTATTTCTGATCACCAAACAATTAATACATTTGTTAACAAGTAGTTGTTTGGTATATAGTAACAAATACAGTCTTGCATGTTGTACCATAAACATTACATTTTCTGATACTTGGCGCACTTTCAAAATATTTGCACATAATTCTGACATTTTATCAATTGTATTTAGAATGCAACTCCATCTTTTCTTGTACAACATTTTGTTAAAATACTGTACAGTAATACAGTTTTCATTGACTTCGATTAGTGTCGGTTTTCGTTGATTTTTTCACAAAAAATTTGTCTTGGTTTTTGTCAGTTGCCTTGGATTTTGTCAGCGTGCCCACGTAACCTGCTAATTTTGCGAAAACACAGGGCAACCCATGCATTTTCCTGCTCATTGTGGCATCGTTTCTTGTGTGAGCATTAACCCATGCATCTAGCTAAACAATTCTATTGCTTTCCTTTCCTTTTAGCTCCATCATAAGACCAAAGAAAATTTCCAGAGCAGACCTTCAAATGCAATGTTAAATGCTACGTTAAATGTTCATTTATTCTTTACATTACTTTTTTATATTCATTTTATATTAATTTCTTATTGTTTTTAGTATTAAACCTAATATTTATTCTCTATAAAATGTGTTTTTGGTATGTATTTTGGAGTGTTTAGAGCGAATTAATTGGATTTACATTGATTCATATGAAAATAATTGCCTTGGTTTTTGTCGATTTTGGATTTCATCAATTGTGTGAGAAGTTGGGAGTTAAGGCGTGAGGCTTAACCCTTTCTACAATGTCGGCCAGGTGATGACCGCTCGTGAGGTCAATGTATGGTAATTCCTACATTCCTAGATAGTGAGTGGGAGGGTCAGTGACATCGTCGATAAGGTGTCGGCAACACATGAAGAATTACAATCATTTAAATAAACTTAACATATTTAATGTAAACAAAAAGGTTACAGATGCAACATAACATTAACAGGAGTTCTGGTTATCAGAGATACAATGGACAGAGCTTGTGGGTAGCTAATATTGATGCAGTTATATCTAACAGTTAAATTCTAAGTTGACTGAGAGAGAGAGAGCGAGTTCACATAAAAACTTCAAAGTTAATACCTCTTTTGGCACTTGTTCTAAAGGTGAAGCTTCGGTGAAGGTTGGCGGATCCTTACGTCGAGACCAGGGGGATAAAGTCCAGTAGTTAGTTGAGTTCCTTCGGCAATTGCCCCAATGATCAGGTGCAAACCCTTTTATACGTGTCCCATGTGAAAATTGACTCAGATGACTTTGATTTAATATGGTCTAAGTTCTAGTTGTGTCCAGGTTCAGCTGATACAAGCTGTCAAGAACTAGACAATTTGGCTGATTTATGGATACTTTCTAGCCATTATTGTGGCTCGTCTTACCTCATAATTCTATTCGTTTGACAGGTTCCTATCATTAATAATCAAATATTTTGACTAAGGTTGTAAAATAAGTCCAAACATTGCAATGATTGTTGATTCACTAGGCTATTTGATCGGTTTTATCTATCAGAATATCGTGAGAAAAAGGATGCGTGGGTTTTTCCCCTTTGTCACCTAGTTCCCCACTTGGCCATTCCATTGCCTTCTGCCTCGATTAAAATTTGTTATTACTCTAATTAATTAATTAAAACTTCATGAAACTGGGGGAAAAAGGGTCTGCTTTTTCACAATTGTTTTCAGATGGATTATCAATGAAAACTGAGGTATCACTGTATTGAGTTTTTGGAATGTAAATATTAATTCATATAAACATCAGTCAAAAACTATATTGAGATATTACATGAAGTTTGGATCTTAAAAAGGAAGACATTTTGATTTTGAAGGGTATACTGTATTCTAATTGTTTTGATAAATCATTGCATTAGTTAAATTAATATATATATATAAAAAGTATAAAAATTTATGACATTACAACTTATTGAATTATTTGCAAAATTTAATAAAAATTTTGATAACTGGCAATAACAACTGATTTATTATTTAAAGTAAAATGAATAACTATAGTGTAAACTGTATTAAAAGAAGAATATATCTTTACAGATAAATTTAAAACTATTTAATAAATTATTATTACACTTACCAACTACTTCCAAATGAATACAACTTTCCATAGGAAGAGGAAGTGATAAATAGTTGAATGGATCAAAACGCACACTATTGTGACCACACACTTTACAAGTAACAGTAGATTGCAACTGGCCATGAAAAAGATCTACTATTATTGAGCGATTGCGAATGATGTGATTCTCCCAAGCTTCCTTTGCTACTTCCTCATCTGGCCGTCCATCACTATCTTTGAGTTCTACATAAGGTTTTTCGTGAACCCTAGAGTAAATTTTCATAAAAATTTTACTATTATTATTATTTCACTATATTAATTATAGTAATTAATTAACTCTTAATTATAAAAAGCTCAAATACATCAATCAATGCAATCAAGCATTTAATTATAGTACAGTGGAACCTCGCTTAACGAGCAAAACAAATTGTAAAAAATTACCTCGCTTAATGAGCAATGTTTTGCATAATGAGTGAAGAGGAGAGGGAAAGTCCTGAATTGTGTGCATGCTCCATTAGTCTGTGTTTAGCACTCATTCCACTAGCATCTTAGTGTCGCTTATGATCACATATTACTTTTAAACATCAACAACCATAGCCTGTTATATAATAAACATGCCAAACAATATGCCAAATTCTTGGGCTATGTAAAGGCTATAATTAAATAATAGAAATTAATTAATTTGACTAGAGGTAGGCAGTTATGCTGCCATCTTGTATTAAATTTAATAACCAATTCCAAATTAAATTTTAGAAATGTCTGAATTAAAAATTAACTCTTTATAATTATTAAATTTAATACAAGATGGAAGCATAACTGCCTACCTCTAGTCAAATTAATTAATTTCTAATATTTAATTATAGCCTTTACATAGCCCAAGAATTTGGCATATTGTTTGGCA